TCTTTGGAGAAAAGCCCATTAATGTTATTATATTTATAGCACACCATATTCTACATGGGATCTTATGGAAATATTGATCAGTCAAACATTGTCGAATTTTATCCCAAAGATAGCAAAACATAAACAAAATTTAAAAAACACCAAAAACCTCTATTGCAACACATTTCTTAGCAGAGATTAGTTAGAAATTGTGCCTGAAATGGCTGGATAAAACTACAGTCTGCTTTGAGTGGGCAGAGGCGGAGACTGAAACACAGTTTATATTGTAATATCCTTGACTGATTGTATTTTTGAAGATTGTTCTAAAATCAAAAAGATATACATCCCTATATGAATAGTTCTGCAATATGGCATCCAGACACATTAGGCCCCCTCCCCAAATAATATTCCGAAAGTCAATCCCAGGCAGAATGTACATCAGCTGTTATATTACTTCATTCCTCCACAACAGTTGTTCATCTGAAAATAGCTTTCAAATGAAAAGAGGCAACTACAAAAGGATTAGTTACCATAGGCAGCATGATAGCCCCATGAGATTATTTATGGCAGCACACCCAGAGGCAAAGCTGTGTGAGAGTTAATGCTGTAAGATTAAAAAGAAAGGTTAGAGAGTGACACTAGACATGCAGTCGTAACAGGGATTCAGCTCTATACCATTTCTCTGGATTTCCTTCATGATGGCAGATGCTTGCTGCTTCCTCTCTTTGACCATGTCAGAATGTGATAGCATTGTAGTTGTCTGATGTGATTTTCTTGCTAGAGAGGGAGGGAAAGTCTCATTTAATTTTGCTGAGAACCACTTGGCAGTTTGCATTTTAACTTGAATCCTTGGCTAAAGCATTCACTTTTATTCTTTTTTGCAAGTGCTGCATTTTTTTTTTAATTTCAGATACTGGCAAAGCTTTCTTGCACACAGATGTTAGGGAGCATGGTTTACCAACAGTGAATCCAAAACTGCGCAGGACCAGCAGTGCCTTGATGACATTAGACGAACGATGGAACAAGGTGAGATGGACATTCTCACCAATCAATGTAACCAGATAAAATTGGCCTTCTCTCCAAACAATAGGTGAGATGGGCCTTCTCACACCCTTGCATGCATGCCCATCTTCCTATATTCTGGCCAACCCTGCTTAAGCCAACTGACTAATAATTCTCTGTAACATGTTATCCATTTATTGTTGTAAATTAAAAGTCAGAAATTCAGGACAATCAATGTAAGGTTATTTCAGGAAACAGTATACTTACCTTATTGTTCTTGAGAGCAGTGATCCTGATGCTTTGGGTGAAGTTTATGGAGTTTGTTATGAATGGGGGTGACCTGTCCGGTCCAGGATGGTTTCTATGCTTGTTCGTGGGTCTGCATGATGCCTAGTACCGAGACAAACTGGGGACTGACCCTCTTCAAAAAGATTGGCATCTGGCTGACATAAAGCAGTTATTTATAGATGCAAACACTCCAGCCACTCATATCTTCCTGGCGAAAGAAGAGAACAGAAAGGATCCTGCTGCACGCACCACAAAAGCGTGTGCATCTCTTCCACAGCTTATTGAAATACTTGATAGAGCGCACCTTCATGCTTGTACAGCTTGTCCCATCATCACCTTTGAGAAAGCTGATCTCCACATTAGAAGTAGGAGAAAGACATTTTAAAATAAGTTCAATTAAATATCTAGGTAGCAGAGACTATATTTGATGGGATTGGAAGTTTATTGAAAGTTAAAACTTTGCCTTTACGCTGGCTAATGGCTAAAGTTAGTGCCTGCACGACAACTGCACTTACAATTCTGCAGAAATTCTCTGCTGAAAAAATATTTTTTCAGGTCTTCACTTCATACTGGGAGGCGGGGGGATCAGAGGACCTCAAAGTCACTAGTTTTTCCCCTCCATTCTTCAATTTCCTAACATGGTTTTTAATATAAATGCTCATCCTGATTTTCCATGTTACTGTGTGGTCTCTCTTCAGTGCAAAGACTAAAAAGACACTCAGTATATTTCAATACTAGCTTTATTGCAAATAGAGGTTTGTTTGCTTTTTCTATTGTTACTCAAAACACTCCATATTTGATGTCTCTTAGTGAGTTGCTCTAAAGAAAAAGAAATGTGAATTAACTATTCAGAGATATCAAACAGCTGGTATCCAGCTATCATGCAAGTGGATACTGGAGATTAGGAAATCAATTTCTGTCTTTAAAAACAAGGCTGATCTAGCGTGATACGGATCTTGATGGCTGGGAGCATATCTTGCTACTAATTGCATAGCAGCTATATAAACAATGCTGGATAGGATTGCTTCACTTGTTTCTAGAGAAAGTCACCAGAGTTCATTACTGAAGAAACATAGCATTTTCGACATCACAAAATTGGCTCTTTTTTCTTCACTAGTATGAAATGGGCCCATCACTTGCATCTCCCACTGAATTGAGTGTCTTGCTTGTTACACCAGAGTTCCAGGTTTCTGCACTGACCTCAGACATTCTGAAGCCCTATATAATTTTGAAGTTGCTTCCTTTCCTGGGTTTATGGTTGGATTGGTGTTGGTTCCAAACACAAGGATTTGAGTTGTCCAAATCCAGGCAACTACCACCATGGATACAAGGAAGTGGTGAGTAAGCCACTCAGCAAGCACAACAAAGCCCTCTTGCTATTTCTGCTTTGTTATCTGTTTGGACTGGACTGTTTTTGATGTCCTCCACCTGTTCCACCCTTTCTAGAGATTGTAAGTGATCCACTCCATTTTATGGGAACCCAAAGTTTGGACAAATGCATCTAACATCAGAACTAGGAATCCAAGGTATCCTATAGCTCTTGGACAAAGTCTAAAGGTCATATGATCATTTTGTTAACTGAAGAAGATATTCAATAAACTATTTGAATGTCGCTCCCTGAACACACCATGACCTCTTAATAACCATAGAAGACGTGGGTTGACTTTGGTGCAACCAAAGGTAATATGATCATAAACATACTGTTTCCATTTGAACATAAGACTGGACTTATGGAAAGGAGTAATGAAATACTCAGATTATTACAATATTACTTTAGAAAGGGAATATCAAATAAGTAATTGAACTGGAATTGCATTTCTTCAAAATGAAATTGGGGTACATCAGTTACAGACCACCAGCCAAAAACCCATTGATGTCATGGAAAAATACCTCCCGCTAGCCTGTGAATCTTGCTCTCTTCATAGAGTTGTCTTAAGGCCTTTTGCCAATTACTTTCATGATTTCAAATGTGCACATTTGTATTATATAAGCCGCTCTTCCTGCCTACCCTAAAACTACTCTTGGCCAAACCTATATTTTAAGGATATCCATTGCATAGGCTCCCAACCTGTATCAAACAAAAACAAATGTTCTATTTTGCATTTCCAGGTGGTTCTTCTCTTGTACTGTAATGAACAGTTGTTAGCAATTGCATGGGATCCCCCAGAAGTTTACCCTTCTGTTGTGATTTGAAGTGCAAGGTATGTTCGGTTTATGAACGATCCAGTATTTGTGCAACTGCAGTTTTATGTACTGAAACAAAATAATTAGTGAACATGCCGACTGCAAAAATTAAACTGGTAATTAGTTCCCCAGAGAAAACAGAATGTGAGGAGTGGAGCTATTCCTCTCAAAATGCAACATTTCAAGGGGGTTCCCTCAGATTCTGAAACAGAACTAGAAGGAGAAGGGAAGTCAGAAAACTTGGCCAACAAGATCAAGGCCAACATGACCTAAGATAAGTGGCTGATGAAAGCAGGACCACATCTGGTTAGGAATGACACACTTTTGAGTAGGAAGAGCCAGAGGAATGTAATTTAATAAGCCTGATGCCAGCTCAAGTGAGAAGGGCAATTGAAAGATGTCTGGCATTCCATCATCTGACCCAAGAAGCAGGAACCTCCCTGAGGGTAAGTGAACTCTGGTTAGGAAGGGAGGAGAGGATTTCAGTTTGGAATCATCTTAACTTGAGTGGCACCTGGTTCTCTCACTAGCTGTCTCATTAACGAGACAGATTGTCCTTTGCTAATGACCTCTTCAGTACTCCTGCAGTATCACCTAGCCAGTTTGGCAGGCCCATTTTACCATACTAAAGTCTGTAGTTAGAAGCTTTTCATCTTGAGCTACTTGGAAGGGCAAAGGAGAAGGTCAAGGAAAAGAAACCTGTTCATGACAGAGGAAATTATTGATTAAGTACCAGTGTAGAAATGTCAGGCCTGTTCAATTGAATAGGAAGAAACTAGCTGATGGACCGGAAGCAGAGAAATGGAACTCCATTAAAATAAATAATTAGGGAAGACGCTACTAACTAGGGGTCAGTTGCTAAGGAAATCCTCAATAACACTTTGCCAACCCTCAGTGGACAGGCTGGTGCTGCAATTCTTTTTATATAAACTAATAATGAAAATAAGACTTGAAGAAAGATGAAAGGGCTACCCCAAAATATTGGATTGCTACGGTATGTCAGCAATGCCATGTGATAGCATGGCATTGTCTATCCAGCTTGCACATAAAACCTGAGTGAACACATTATGCCATTACAAAGAAAACACTTTTTCTAGAAGCAATTGGAAATACTCTAGACTGTGTTGTTTAGGTTTGAAAGTCTTGGGTTGTGCTATTTATGATATTAGAGGCTCCTGGAGGACTTGACCATAACAAATGACTACTCAAGTATTTTTGGTATATACTGGCAAGTGTCCAGGTTGTTTTTGGTAATAAAAAATACCTCTCCCCTCCATCTATTCATAAAATGATGGTATTTGACTTTTTCTCTCCCATCTTTCTCTCCTCTGCAATGGAGGTAAATGCTTCCCTGAGTTCAAACACGGCCTTCTTTCTCCCCACAGCAGCTGCATTTTACCCTCCTCCTGCACCACTGCCAACCATTGCAAGGCTGCATTTGATTCACTTTGCATGGGATAATGCACTTACCAAGGCTGGCCAGGCTAGCACTATGCTTTAAAATTGCTACGTTTTTAACCATCTGCTACTGTAACTTAGCAGAGATGCCAGGGTAGTTTGGTACACCAGTGTAGCACCTGATAAGAGGATGACATTAAGCAAACATGAGCTGGAAAAGTTGCTGTATAAGATTAAACATTCTGTCCATACAGCTAAGCACAAAGGCTAGTTGAAAATGACATTGTAGCCTTAAATGTGTGTGTACCTATTAAATAAAACAAAACAGGTGATCAACACTGTTTGCCTATAATGAAAGTATAGTGAGGGCTACACTTAAGCATGTTTTTCATAAGCATTTCCTTCTCCAGCTAGCAGACCACTGTTCTTCAATATCTGGATCAGAACAGCAACTTCTTTATACGAAGTTCATTTTTATGGCAGAATCATAGAATCACAGAACAGTAGAGTTAGAAGTGGCCATGAAGGCCGTCGGATCCAACCCCCTGCTGTCAATGAGCAGTGTGCTCCCCCGGCCACTGAAAGTGCCTTTCCACCACCCTCACAGCTGGCACGGAAAGAACCGCACAAGGCTACCTTGGGAATGGAGCAGTGTAATGGAGGGGAGGAGACAGGCTCCATGGGCGTACATATCCCCCTGGGTGTGCCTCGGTTTACTCACCTCCTGGCTAGTGCTTGAACACTTGGGCAACCAAAACTCCCCCTCCCCTCCCCCTCCCCCTCCTCCTTCTTAACACTTCTATACTGCCTGAAGCTGAAGCTCTGTCGGTGGTTTACAACAATAATAATGGAATCACACACTCGAATCACCCATCCAGATTCTAACCAGGTCTGACTCTGCCTAACTTCCAAGATTAGGCAGGTCAGGCACTTCCAGCTATATGGAAGTTTGGCCATATAAATTGGCCATCCAGGTGTTTGTGTGGCAGGAAGAGTATGTACGGACAGTCAGCTGAGTGGGATGGTTTAACCTGGAGTCGTGCGCTGAGCAGGGGGTTGGACCCATGGCTCGCAGGCCTCTTCCAACTCTACTATTCCATGATTCTGTGACCTTCACCTCTGCACTCTTCACGATATGAAGAATGTCCATAATCCTCTGAGTCTGGAGGACTTCAGGCAGCCTCACTTGATTGGGATCTAGCTAATTGTTATTACTTCTGTCTATTCTTATTTCTATTTTCATTGTTTGTTTTGGTCTTTATTGAAGCCTGAAGTTTTTTGCTGAGCACAATGTTAGACGGAAACAGATGTGACCTCTCCTGAAGTGTTCTTATTCTCACTTCTGTTGACTGACACACACCTCTATCTGTGTTGGTCTATGTATATTCTTTGGTTTAATCAAACTGAATGTAACTGTCTAGTTTTATTTCCGCACATGCCCCAACCTGTATTGGCACTTGGTATCATATTTGTTTCAGAGGACACTGACATCAAACAGGGGCTTTGTCAGATTCTCCCAACTTGTATCTTTAGAAG